TATTTATATATTTATTTATTTATTTATTTATTTAATTTCTATTCCCAGAGGTTACTATGACGACCTGGTTCATTTATCCGCCGAAACCGGTTACTTAATATGGATCGAGCCAGCTTCCAGTATGCGAGTACTGTTCACCTACGGGAGCACCCAATGCGACTTTCTGTGAGTTCTTTTTGTATGTCCTAGCACGCTGCCCCAAAAACTCAATGGTTCGACACTGTGTAAACTCACTGCGTGGAAATATGTTGGAACCGATACTTGTTTCCGGTATCATTTGTGTTTCAAACGACCCCGTTATAGTGCCTGTGCCCAACTTATGAGAATTCACATGGAATAATGCGTTGTGCCGGGCAGGAATGATTGACAAGTACTGGTGGGACTCGAACCATGGGCTTTTTGGTCGGTAGCTCACATGTTAACCGCCAGGGGACTCGGTCAGCATGTAACATGGATCACCTGACTAAAGTACAAGTGTGAGCTAATCACATTGCTGGTCAGCTCCTTGTGGCCAAACGTTTAAATGCAAATTCGAGACCCCCCCCCCTCCGAGTTTCGTGAGGTACGCACTCCTGTCGACACTTTATAAAGATGAAACAGTTATGCAGTTCTTTCCAGCGTTTCAGCATGGACTGGATTCATTTACAACTACGAGTTGGTTTAACCTGTCTGCAGAAGTCTGATGGCGTCTACTCAATTCCACTACTCGCAAACTAAATTTTTTGCTCACAATTCTTGGTCTCGATAACTTGCTTGATCTGAATTCAACATTTGGGCTGTCACCAATCTGAAAATGATGTGGACACTAAACTATGACAGAAGATAAAACTTGGTGTTGAGTGGTAGGTCTCTGGGTTGAAGTTTATTACAATTTTGGGTTTTGTGGGATAGATATTTTGTTCATAGTCACACCACTCTCGTTTGAACGGCCGTGCTCCTGTTCTGGAGTAATTATTCCGGTGAGTCCACACCAAAGGGAAGCACTGGACTCGAGTTTCGCTCCTAGTAGAGCTCATCAGCAGTGCATATCCAATGGCCGTGCCGGGATTTGAACCCCAGACATCTGACATGCGAGGAGAGCGTGTTACTGGGTCGATGTTCGATTAGTCGGGCGCACCAATCACATCGCTCAATTGTGAACACGTTCGTCTGTTCAGACGTGATAATTCAGATGCGTCCAACGTGCGTTGGTGGAGTAGTGGTTACACGCTCGCCTCGCATGTCAGATGTCCGGGGTTCAAATCCCCGCACGGCTCATCGGATGATGAGCTCTAATAAGAGCGAAGCTCGAGTCCAGTGCTTCCCTTTGGTGCGGACTCATCAGAATAATTACGCTAGAAGAGGAATACGACCGTTTGAGCGAGAGTGGTGTGACTATGAGTCTTATTGATTGGACAGAGAATCGTCAGAAGGCCAATCACGTAATGACGGCTCACATCCGGGCGTTTGATGCAAGTACCCTGCGGTTGTTTGTAGTAGCAAAACTCGTAATGAGCAGACCGTGAAATCACATTTTCATTCAAATGTCCCAGACTTTCCCTAAACGGCACATCAAAGCCTAAAAACCATAGTGTGGTTGGGTTGTTTCTGAATTTTATGGAATTTCAACACCCAGAGATAACTGGGCCTTCTGCGTTCAAATCACGACGTGTAGCTAGAAGAAAGGACTCATCTGTGTAACCGTTTTATCAGCAAAGACTTGGGTTCGTCCCTAATCCGGCGGTGAGTGGATTTTCTCAGCTGGTACCCGAACCTATAACAGGTGTGAAAAACATTGATTTATGCATCCGTTTACCTTTAGCCTGTTGTCACCCGGATGATTCTATGACCGGAGGAAAATTTGTCAAAAATAAACCTCTCCCAAAGTTTGAAAGGTTTTGCAAGACGGTTAAAATGTTGGACCACCTTGGGCTAGTCAGACATCGTAAAAATAACTTTCTTTAAATTTTTTCACTAGGTAGACTTCTACCTACCGTGTTTTTGCGTGCACCTGCTTTTTGGAAAGACAGTTGTTGAGCTGTCATGTCTTGTGAAGTTATTTTCGCAGTCCAATTAGGAAAGTCAAAAACAATAGGAGGTCGCCCTCTCCTTGGCAGTGTTTTGCCCCTCAAAAAAATAGCACGCAGAATGCCCGTTTTGACAAGGCTGTTCAGGTCCCTGTTCATCACGTGACATGACCAAGGAATCGGGCATTTTTTCAACTTGAGACGAACTTTTGCAATTCTGATTAACGACATTAGTGAAAGGTGTAGAGAGAGAGGACGTAGTTCAACTCGTTCGCGGGTGTCTGGGATACCTCTACTCTGAAACACAATGTTGCTGCGTGACAACAGCCGCGTCTACGATCGACGTTCATGCATTTTCAACCTCAGACCTCAACTCGGCTAACCCATTATCGGTATATGTTGTGACGGACTTGCCTGTTGATAGGTGTTGATGTGCGCGTTCGTGTACTCATTTGAAGACACCTTGAGGACATCTGTACCCATCAAGCAGCATGTTGGAACAATAGGTGCGCTCACGCAGTTTGTACTTTTTACCGAAAATTCAATGAAGCCCTCTCTAAGCGGATTTCGGAGACCTGAGAAACAAAGGTGTATTAAGATCAGTATTTGTGTGCGCGGACTGCCAGCCATGGTTTGCGAGAGTCTTCAGTTCATCTTTTTTTGGAGGGGGCGTGATCGAGCCCAGTTGCATGCATCATTTTGCGCAGGATTTACCAGGGGCATGAACTTTTCTGAAACAACTTCATCGTGTTCCACCACTAGGCCGTGACTGTGGATACCACAAACTTGTCAAATGTGGATTTGAAATGACTCAGATTCGGACATTTGAGTAGGTGTGGCGTGGGGAAGAACTCCTGACCACGGGAATTGTAATACTACTGATGGGCTCGTTCAAAAATCGATTCTTTGTGATATGGTCAGGCCTTGAGTTTATTAGTGCACAGATGATGATAGCTATAATACAAATCAGAAGATGTATGTACTAATAACAGTCTTTACTGTGGTTGACAGTCGTTTACGGAAGCGATTTGCAGCATGTATAAAATAAAGACAATATAAAATGTGGAGCAAGTTGAAAGGGAACTTATCGTATGTGAGAGTACCTAGGTGAAAGTCCGGACTGTGGGAACGTGTTTCCTCCGCAGTTTGGCTGCTACACGTGTTCCATAATTGTCCGTGGACTCGGAGTGTTTGGCTGACTGCTTGCTCCCTGCGCCCGCGCGAGTCTGTGTGTGCTGACTGCGTTCGGTTTCCCTATATGTAGGTCCGTTTGCGTGGGTGTGGGCGTGTCAACACATGAGTAGTTGCTACGCTCACCAGACGGTACAAACAATCGGCGTCTGATGAGTCACCTTAATGTGACGTGGGTGGTGGATATTAAAAACAGACGTCTCGTGGTCCAGTGAGCGACTGTGAGCTGAACGGTCAAGTGTGTGGGTGACCGGTTAGCTACAAGTTGATCTAAAGAACGCCTAGGATATCGGTCTTTGTCCAGTGGTCTCAAACCGGTTTTTGGCATGATTTCTAGTTGCCCAAACAGGTCAAACGGGCAAACGTCTGAGCACAGCTCATGCCGTTGCTCGGGAGACCAATGCGTGATACGGTCCTCGTAAGGCGATTTCTAAATCTCATTCACCCAAGTTGGAGCGATCAACCGAGAACCGCACCGGTCGCAATGAGTAGGTGTATACCCTGGCGAGATAGCAGGAGTTATCCAGTGATGTAGCGACGTGTCCTTTTTCTGTACTTCCTTTCTAGTCAGGACAAAGAATGACAGGAGTGAGCACACCGATGTCATGGTGTACGCACTGCGGCCCGTTAACTGGTCGCTGTTGAACACCCGTTCAGTTTTCAGGTTAAGCTTCCAACCGGAATGCAAGTGCTTAGGATTTGGGACTAAAGTGCAGATCAGGCGTGTTCAAAGTTCGAACCTAGCGAAATAGTTTCTAACTGAAGGAATGCTTACAGGGTCACTACCTTCCACCTTGAGCTAAATTGCTTGACAGCGAGACCAGCGATGGGGCTCGATCAACATTAACGACCTACAGAAATTTCATTTTAATGAGATAGACGTAAAATTATCTGAGTGTGGCATTCGCAGAGAAGAAAAAACGCTTAGTCTCTGAGTGCTGACCTTGAACGATCTTCATGACGCGTTGGAGTTTTATCCTTGTTAATTTTGTAATTTATTTTTGCAACTAAGATTTCGCACCGTAAGTAAAGTCAGCCCAGGTTGATAAGCCAAGTACCGTAGAGAACTGTTTCATCCTTCCTGAGAATCATCAGCAGTGCACATGTGGCGAAACTCAGGGGAGCCTCGAATCGTTTGGCCACGAGTGGCTGGTTAACAGTGTAGTTAACTCGCATTCAGACACGGAATCCACACCACGTGGTCGCACATGTTGACTGGTTCCTCACTCATCGAGTGAAGTTTATTCTTCCACTGAGTTACTTACAGATAATTGGTAGTGTGGAGAGATTTGGGAACTTTTTGAAGATTTCCTCCTGTAGGGGAAGCCTATCTGTACTGAAAGGGCGAGAAGCACTGTACAGCTGTTTCATCCTTTCTGAGAATCATCAGCAGCTGGCATCTCACGAATCTCCGGACGACCTTGAACCCGCGACCTCCCGGCTAGTAGTTTGAACACTTAACCGGTCGGCCACAAATGACTGGTCAGCAGTGCGATTAACTTGCCTTTAGGCAGGATACAGGACCATTCGTACTAGTAAAAGGAAGAAGGCCTTCCCTACGAAGTTGTTTTTTAGAAAATGCCAACTGAACAGTTACAGACCATTGGACAGGAAGACAAAACTCTCATATGAAGCTTGTTTACAAAAAGTTGAATATCCATCTTCTCCGTGAACGCGTTTCCCTGAACTTTCCTGGATATTCACTGACTGTCGCTCAAATGCAAGAAAATGCGACTCCACCGATTCCGTAATAGATCTCACTTTTCAAGAGACGCGAAGCGGATTTACGAGAAAACATGCTACTCGCATGCCCCCCAATNTCAGTAGTATACCGTTACACTAGTAGGAATGGGGTTGACAAACAAGACGTGGTAGAACATAAAGTTAAGTGAACGTTATTGATCCATTTGGATCCCTCGTGGGTACCTCTTGGTTGCCCGTAGAGTGGGCAGTCATACTAAAGCGGAA